ATTGAAATATTGTAAATGAAATTCTCTGAATTTTTGAAAATTGCATATGCAAATGTCCACCGGTTTTTAAAGCGTCGGATTGTGTCTGACCAGGAGGTTGGCTATACAGCGATATCGTGCTTGGCGTGTCCTCGTCCAGGGTCTGAGTTGGAATCTTGATGCGGAGAATCATTTTTGCTGATTGGAAATGCTTTTTCAAATTCATATAATATTGCTTAGCTGTTACAAATAACGTGAAAAAGTATGTACTGTCCCCTTTTCCTCCTGTCCTATAGTTAATATATTATTATTATAGGGTGATGATGAGGGGTAAACAGAACATGATGACGGTAGGAGGTTTTAAGTGGGGTAGTGGGAGGTGTTCGTGGGCTTTTCTGGAACTATCCCAGCATTCGCCTGGCGACCGAGGTAAACCACGAAAACCCCGGTCAGGATGGACGGCCCGGATATCGCACTGGCACTCCCAAGTGATGTACACACTGACCCACTTCGCTACGTACATATATTTGCAACCACTTTCTCAACTAACATGGTTACATAGTAAAGGTAAATTATTATAGTGCTGGTGCTGATATCGCTATTTTTCAATAGAAAAACTCGTAATTCGGGCCCTGTTGTCGAAAAGGGAGATACATTTTGTTCATATAAGTAGTAGATGACTTCCTCTAACACGTTGTGTAGTCAGAATCAATGTCTTGTGAGCCCCTAACAGTGGCGGCTGGTGGCCCACCATACTGAGGGTTGCACTTCCTTTGAATGAAGGAAAAGTAATTTCGAAAATTCAAAATACGAATATATAATAAAAGTGTAAGCAATTGAAATTAATTAAAACTAAGTTAAATAAAAGTCTATATTGAAACATTACTTACAAAATTGTATACATCGCGTACGCTCTTTGGTTTCAAAATTATTTCATATTGTAACGTTTCTCCGTGGTGAATTAAAACACACGCAGATAAAATTTTAACAAAAACGTTTATTTTGCTTCTTAATGCTCACTAGGAATACTTCATATATTTACAGATATATTACACAGTCCTTGTTCTTCACTTGATTATTTTCCTTACACACGAGTCTTTTAATTATTTATTTACACTGTTCACTTCTTCTACACTATCGCACAGTCCGATGCAATGTCCACGGTCCACTGCGCTGACCACAATTCACTACGCAGACCAGGGTCCACCGCACTGCTGTTTACCGCGAAGTACACTTCACAGCTCTGCTTCCACTGCAGACTTCAGACTCCTGACTGCTGTCTACCCACTGCACCACTGTTCACCGCAATGCATACTTCACAGCTCAGCTTCCCCTTCAGACAGACTACTGCATACTCACACTGACGGACTGACTGCTTACTACTTCTACTTCTTATTTCCGACTGACTCACGGCCGCAGGTAAATTTATACCTGGCCGGTGCCCGTCTCGACACAACCGGCACTTGCTCCACATTTCTACGCGACTCTCGAATAGCCCGGAACCGTCCAGTTCGGAGGGAAGGATGGCGCCGACAGATGACGCAATCCGTGCAGCGAATCCCGGCAGATGATGCAATATTCGTTACAATATACATAGATATTGGTCTGTTATTAAATATTAAATATTAAATGTCATTAAAAGGAAAATATATATTCCTAAGATATTATGAGAACTTTTTCATTTTCTGGAGGTTGTGCAACCTAAGCAAGAGTCGCTCTGTACCCTAACACCGAATAATCATCGCACAACATGTCTGTTGATTGATTAGCGACTCCAGGCGCGTCACATGCTAAGGTCATTAGTCCCATAAGTGCAATGCTTGTTTTTATTGCGGAAGGTGGCTGTGATTTTTCTCCGCTAGATGGCGTGATTTTGCGCTGATCTACGTCGGTTTGCGGGGATTTTCCCTAACCAATTATGTCCCACCGATGCGCCTCAGCCGAGACAAGCTCTAAGTTCTCGACTGATCTCTTGACAGGTGTGTTAGTGTAGTGCATGTGGGTATAAGTGTAAGTAAGCGGTGAGGAAGAGAAAGGAAAGATATCGAGCGGTCCGATTGTTAGTATTTTTGGTGCTGCTTCTGCGTTTACCCTGTGTTGATCGAAGAAACCACGGAAAACTACCGATCAGAGCAGCCAGCTGCTAGACTTCTCCTCCAAACAGTGGTAGAACTCGTCTCAGCTATCTAGCTAGAGTCTAATACGCTGCCACCGTCGGTTTTCGAATCCTATTATAGGACCAGCACTTGATTTCTGGGGGAAACGCGAACGGCGCGGCGTTCCCGTACCTCGGAAATTATTATTAGATTATATTAAAAATATACTTATATCCATTAATTTAATAATTAATTTGGGGCGCGTTCCGGGACCTAAAAATTTATAAATCAAGCACTGCCATGGTCCTTCCTGTCACATGCACCAAAGTGACATCAGTTGATGCATTGGGCCACCTTTGCCGGTGTCTGTATGTGTCCTTCCATCACTCCGTCTCCGGTCAACGCTAGCGCCTAAACCGTTCAGACGATTTTTTTTTTTTTAAATCATCTCCGATCCGTCTACGTAAATGAATTTGAGGCGTGCGAAATTGAAACGTATATTTGATTTTGGGGGAATTTACCTGAAGCATCAGCTACATCTTCAAAAATTCCTCAAAAATGGTTCCAACAATTTGGTTAAACATTTGCTTTCCTTGTAAAGCATAAAGGCCCCCACAGAGTATCAATTTGTCAAACTGCATCGTGTGGAGGCAAGTTGTCGAACAGAAATTTTTGTCAGGCGGTTGGTAGGTCGTGACCACACGACCGCGATTACCCCACCATACTGCCAGACAAATTGTGTAGTGTGTTGGGCGAACTCTCAGTGAGTTGAAAATGCTGGTTCAAAAGTGAAATAGTTGTTTCATTGGAAAGTGATTTAATTGGCTGATTACGAATATAAAGTCGAAAATGTCAAGAAATAAAATTACAGATCAAATTTGGCAGAAAAGTAAATAAAACATAAAATGCAAAATTCTTTTCAAAATCGGTAATGTAAGCAAATTTTGACAATTATCAGAATGAAAGCAACCTAAAGAAAACCAGTTTTATTTATATATTGTAGAACTTACAGTATAATGAGAAAATCGTGTTAAACGGCTTTAAAACTCCTTTATTCAAACACGTGCCAGCAAGGCACGCGTACGTTACAGCGAGGTGCAGCAAGCTATGTGATTTTGAAAGGTAGTACGTACCAGTATATACAAGAAAATTGCAAATTTGACCGCAATCGGATTGTTGGTCGGACTGTGTGGCCAAGAGTCCAATTTCGTTGTCCCGACGGTTGGTCCGACAAATTGGCGCGTGTGTAGAGGCCCTAAATAATGCTCAAAAATGACGTTGGTGTAATTTTTGTTGAAATCTCTGAATTTTCAAAAATTGCAAAAAATTCAATTTTTTCCGTCATTTTTCTACAACTACAAAATTTAAGATAGCGATTTTTTTAATGAAAACTCTTTTTCTGAGATAGATCTTGAAATCAGGTCATCTACAATTTTTCGAAAACATGAGTTTTTGCGTAATTTTGCCTTAAAAATTGCCATTTTTTAAACAACAACTTTCTCAAGAACGGCTTAATCTTTTTACTTGAACACATTAGAAGCTGAAAAAAATGGCGCAGGTCCCGGTTTCTGCGAACTTTCTGTTTCCGAAAATTACAACATAAAACTAAGAAAAACACATTGCAATAGTACAATGATAGGGGATATGATAGGATATATTACTGGATCGGAATCTGATCTAAAAAATAGACATTTAAATATGATAGACTTTTTCCACAACTGATCGAGCAAATGACGCTGAAAAAATTGCGCAGGTCCCATTTTCGGTGAACTCTGTGTATTTCGAAAATTGCAAACAAAAATTTAGTATTTTTGAATAAATTGAATGCCTACTAGATTTGGGAATATGATATTTCAGTAGCATTTAGAACGCTTTATGTGATTATGTAGTGTTTTGTTGAATGGATGTCGCTAGTTTTAGATTGCATTTTTGGCAGACTATAAGCATGAATGAATAGCATGTGATACGCTTGGTGTTAATCTATGCTATAAGTATGTTTAGTATGAGCCACGATCTTACATCACTATCGTATGAATCCTTCGGTATGAACTCTTACACTCACTTCAAAAAAATATTCGGACAGTACTCAGCTTACTCACGTTGAATACGCTGTGAGCCTGTTAAAACAATAAAATATTATACCAGTAATTATTAATACTCGTACATTACATAATGCGTTTTGTTTCTGCTTTTACATCAATAATAAATTTGCATTAGAACTTCCAATAACGGAAATTGCACATCAAATAAATATTCGGACAGACTATATGTATTATTTTTGTCAACGAACTATTGGGCGAAAGCAAATGTAACTTTTCCCACGGTTGATTCAAGGACGGTTATAACAGTCAATCGACGCGCTGTCAATAATCAGTCTATTAGTGTCCTTATCGTTGAAAGATTGTCTCGAGAAGGAAAGAACAGCTCTTTCGAATTGCGTTAGTTATCTTTCATAATGCAAAAGGCAAGAGCTGCATTATACATTGTAGACAGTGTTGCCAAAAAGGTTGAATGAAGTTTTGAAAATGAAAGAACTCCCTACAAGTTATTGATGTACTTATTTTTTGTTTTATTAATTTTATTAATTTGTTTATATTGTGTGTCCGAATATTTTTTTTGAGGTTCCGAAGGATTAGGTATTCTTCAAATTTATTGTAATTTAATAATTTTTAATGTGAAAATTAAACTTGCATGTTGTTCTAACGTATGAAATGTGCCTTTTTCATTACATACAACCAAAATTACGACAAGTTTAATATTTTCTTCTTAATTAAAGAAAATGTGGTAAATTCGTAGGTGACCGAATATTTTTTTGTGAGTGTACATCGCTCGCTGTAAGCAGGTATGAGCTAATTTCTGTAGTGCTTTATAAAGTCACCGTTAGATGTCAGGCGGTTCGAGATAGATATCCGCGGAATTTGTTGGAGAATATCCCGTCAGATAGCGTATTGGAATATATTTTTGTTTAAAGTTTTCGTCTAAAATGTGATGATCAACAATTTTGTGAAATAAGAATTTTTTAAATGTGTCTCTGCCTGCGTCATTTAAAAGGTTCGTATTTAAATTTCTTATAAAATGTCAATATAACATTGAAATGCAGTTTCCAATGATGTCAAGTCCTATGAGCGTATAAGTACAGGTTAAGTGCAAACGTCATTCGTCGAATGTTGGCATTGTTGTATCAGCTGATTCCGTGTACTGAATTTTGTATTTCGTGAGATTCGGATCGAATTATTAAGGTTCATGTAGTCAGAAAATACCAACAAAAAAAAAAAAAAATACGCGTGTGAAGTTGTGTGCGGTTGGAGGATTTTGTACGGACTCTGATGTGGTCTCTGTATGGAAAAGATTTGTCGTAATTTGTATGGCCTTCGCATTAATGGAAATTATATTGTGTAACAAATATTTTAGGTGACGTCTTTTGTGTAATGTATTTAAATTATGAAATGAAAAATGTCAGTCAGTATATTTTAGGTTGTGTCTCGGCATTTACTACCAGTTCACTGACATCAGACTATTATGTATGTTTCAGATATTTAATGTAAAAAACAAGTATGAGTTGGTTTGATGCTTCAGGATTCGCAAATTTGGCCAAATCTGCATTAAAAGAAGCTCAAAAAACCATTGACAAAGCTTTAGATATCAAAGATGAAGACCCTAATTCTTCCAACCTTAGCAAAGGCAATACCCCAACAAATACAGATGCTGAAGCTGACAGCTTCTTTGCTTCTTGGGGATTGAAATCAAGTGGAGGTAAAGACACTCCTGGTTCAACCAAAGAATCACCTATGTCTCCAATTCCTGTTACGGATTCCTGCAAGGGTTCTCCGAAAAGCAATAAATTGACGATGAGCTCTAGCCTATGGGGATCTTTCACTGGTTCATTTTTTGATAATCCACGGACATCAAGCATCGAAGGTAAGTGGATCAATATAAGTTTTTTTCTGATTGTATAAGGAATTTGTAGGATAAGACTTGTGATGTTGGACAATCAAAAGATAACCTTAGACATTTTGTTAAGTCTTCAGATTCTGCCATTATTTTAAATGTTAAGGAATAGTGTGGAGTACACCTAAATATTACTGCTTATAATATTGAGCTTGAAAATAGTTCTTCCACTTAAAAGGTCAATATTCTTCTTAACAAATGTGTGCTACAGAGGAAATTAAATATATTAATTAGCTACAATCAGATAGATGTTGCTTCTTTCGGTACCAAGACACATTATTAAAACGACTGTTATGTTACTCCTTTGACAGGCAAAATCACTTTGCCGGCTCCAAAACATTTTTGTTTCATACTATGTATGTTCTGTATGAAAGGCAGTATCAGTTTCAAGTTTTTAGTGAATTTTGTTTCAAACTCAAATTTATAGACTTCTGGACAAAATTAAAACAATTTTTACATCCAAATTTATCATTTGAAATCAATTTATTTTATTTAACATGACCTGCATTTAAATAATTTAACAAGACTTTCTGCAGAACAAAAAACCTTTTTAGTAAAATGGGGTATTTTTGTGTGTGATTGGTGATTCATGTTCTCTAAATTGACTGTTTCATGCCAGCCTCTTTTCTATCTGTTTGTAGCATAATTGAAGGAAAAAATTGAACACGTTTGATATCCTGTTAGTATTGAAAAGTGATCCACTTGATTTATTTTTAGCACATTTATTGAGACTAACTTGATCCAAAATAACTGAATACTAACAAGTTGTGATTTAATATAAATCCATTATTTCTGTTCAAATAAATGTGTCATTGAACTGCTATTTTATTATTATTATTGTTGTTATTAATTTGAAGTTTTTTATTTGCTTTATAATGATGGAATTCACAGATATAGTTAGAAAATTATTTCATTTGTTTAATTTTATTTTCAATGTACTGTTCTAGATGCTGAGGTTGCTCAAGCTTCACAGGTATCAGATGATGCAGAAGGAGATCCTGTTTCTCAGCAACCACAAAAAGTGACCATATTTCCATCATATCAAGACAGTGAAGCCATGCCTGGTGACATTGTTTCTAAAGGGTCTTGGGAAGGAGAGGGACACAGCTCACTTGACACAGAAGTGACATTATGTGATGATACTAGTGAAGCAGGTGCTGAACATTTTAGTACAAGTAAATTGGTGGTAGAAAGTGAAGACAATGTAGGAATGCAACGAAGACTTTCAATTTGTGAAACAGAGGAAGAAAAAGAGGATGTTATTGGAAGTTCTGCGGTGACTGGAGAAACTTCGGGAGTGCAAAAGAGTGTATTAGAAGTCAAACAAGAATGTTCTGATGAAACTGTTATTCAAGTTATGAGGCGAAGAGATGTATCAAATACAAATGGTTTCAAATATAATAGACTTTCTGTAATATCTTCAGAAAGTGATAAGAAGTCATCTGAAAGTGTTGAAGTGTTGGGTTCTGCAAGTAGTGAAGGGGGAAGTGGTTGCACCACCTCACCTGAATCTGATTTGCCTTTATTAAGTCCAGAAATGTCAACTTCATCATCTTTCACTGGTCTAAAACTGTCAGCATTGGCAAGTTCTCCAGAGTCAGTAGAAGTCATTCCTGATACACCAAGCTCAGTGGAAATTTTATGTGATGAATCAAATGGGAGGACCTCCGAAACCACTATGTCTTCACCTCATATGTCCCCTGGAGATCCACCAGCCCCACCAAATTCTTTAGCAGTTCTTGCACAAAATGTTCTTGACAGTAATACAAATAGGTAAGAATTTTGTAACCATTGCATACTACTATTTCCTTAGTGAGACATTTTTGAATACAATTTTTGTAAAAGTTGCACAATCCAAAAAAGTATATTTTCTATTAAAAAAGTAATATTAAAAATTGAAAATTAGTTTCTCTACTTTATTAAATTTACTGGATTCTTTGTTTTTATATTTCAAGGAAACTTGAGAAACTTGGGGTTACTGTAAATTCAAACTAACCAAAGAATTCAATTTTCTATACTAATAAATTCATTGTAGTTTGCATATGTAATAGAAGTTCTTTCCTTTTTAATTATATTTTACTATTATACCGGATAAATATGATTCATCACATAAAATAGATGAAATGGAAATTAGAAAACAAGAAATGGTTAATGCTGCTATAAGGGAAATCTTTAATTCAGTCAAACTACAGTGTGATTGTCATTCTTGTCACTGTGTGTTCTGTGACAGTTCAGAACAATTCAGGATTTATTACTTGATTACTTATTTAATAAAATCCTTAATTCTCCAAAGAGTATTTCTAATATTTGCAAACTTCATTTGTGAAGTAAAGTTAATAGCCGGAATATTGGTTCAAAGCAGAATTTTTAAGGGGAACAAACATTGTGGCATTCATTTATAATTTAAATTACTCAATTAAGCAAAGTCCACCATGCTTTAATAACAAAATGATAAATCAAATTTTCTTTGACAATGAGATTTTAAAAACATTACATTAGAAAATCTGTCCAGAGTAATTGAATAAGATTTTAATACAATTATTTGTTATATCATTCATTTACAGGACATTTGAGAAATAGAAATAAATTTTAAATTTTTGTATTAAGAAATTTCAGTGTTTCTTGTATTTCATTGAACATTGGTTTAATATACTGTATGCTCTCATTTGGTTAAGATAACTTATAACACTTACACATACACCCCTCCGAGATGGATGACCCATTTTAACTCCACCCCTACCCCTCACTTGCTTCTTGAGTTAGAAGTCATCATCGTCATCATCGTCATCCTAAGGCAAAAAGTTTGCCTGTCGCTGCTGCCATGACATTCTGTCCACCACTGTCCTCTTCATGAGTTAGAAGTAAAACTTCAAAATTAGGAGTTTCTTATTTATATTTTAATACACATTTTGTAATTAAAACAGGATATACATTTTCGATTAATGTTAACGTTAATTTATACTTTGAAGTTAATAATACAATAATGTGATTACATCGTAAAAATTACATCATCATGTCCATCCCTCTTGCTCGCTTTTATCTCAGTTGTGAGATCCCATCCCCCTAAAAGCTATGTATATTTTGAATCGTCCAATACGGCTTTTATTGTAAATTGCTATCATTTTGTTCCAGTTGTGTAATTAGTTGGATTCTTTGTATAAGACCAGACAAAACCTAGTTGTTGTTTTTTGTTGCATTTTTAATTGAAAGATCAATGTTTCAATTTTACAGATACAAATATATTTGATAAAATTTTTAAAATATATTTTGTATTTTTGTAGGGCTGAGGCCTTGATTGGTGGGTATGCCTAAGCAACTGCTCATTTGGCTTTGTAGGTAAATCTGGTCCTGTTGAAGAGTCTATTACAAAACAGACAGTTCACGCTAACAGACGGCAGCAGTCGGTCCCATTAGTGGTGCTACAACAGAACATACTTTTGTCGTTATTTTTTGCAGAAAAGGTTTCCAACCCAAAAAATACTTTTTCCATGCTGGGGTAAACTACAGAAAACAAACAACACAGGTAGCCTCCGCCCGATGAGATATTCTATGGTTTCGATAAATATCCAGGGACCTGGGGGAAAATCCAAAAACAATGATACGATTTGGATATTGACTCAAAATGAATTTTTTGTTATTCCATCTACTCTCATACATCGCGTAGTGACTGAATTCTCATACTCATTGTGACACTGTTTATGACACAGTTGATGTTATGCAACAGCAAGGATCCAAGGAAGAGCCTGCCTGCTATTAAATGTATATTATTGATGTGTTTCTTTATGAAACATCAAATTGTTTTGATATTCATGGCCTGTAAAGAACTATTACCGTACTATGTTATTGCAGTATTCGCAAATACTAGTTTTGTTAAAATATTTAATTTATTGCAGTTTAAAGGTATTTTATTTGCTATTCTTGAACAGAGAGCTTACTCCTTTTTAGAAAACTACTTTGTGTTGCTTTGTCCAGCATTTTGTCTGCTGCAGGCCAGTAGTTTATCATATTTAGATGCAAGAAATATTCACCTTTTTTGGAATCCCAAAATGTATTTTTCTGTTGAAAAATCAATACGTTTCCCTGCTGTTATATAACTTTTTCTT